ATCAGTAAATAGAATGGTACAGGAGGGATCCAAATAACAAATAGCAAACAGTTTAAATCACCTGAAGACAACACTAGCTGTAGAAATATATTATGATAATAGAACATTCTATATTATATGTGTGTTATATTGAAATAGTTTTAACTAAAGCTTGTGATACATTTATTTCTGTGAACTAGAACAGGTACATGTAGTTTTTAGAGTGAACCATATTCTCAGCTTATTTCCAGAAGCAAGGTAGACCACCATATTTTGAAGTTCATTGGGTGTGCATAGTCTAAGGTAGCACATAGAATGATTTGTGACAATACAGAAACAAGAAATTCCAAGCGGAACTCATAAGCCTACTTTCCTGTTACATGGATGTATAGTCCAAAAAATATATTACTCTGTTATTATTTTAGTCCTGTGAAGAATTTACTTAAGGACATATTCCATATGGAGCCAGGATAGCTTAGTTGATATAGTGACTGGCTATGGGGTGGACAACGGAGGGGTTGGAGTTCGAGTCCTGGTAGGGTCAAGAATTTTCTCATCTCCGCGTCTTTCAGACCAGCTCTGAGGTTCACCCAGCCTCCTGTCCAATGGGTACCAGAGGCCTTTTCCCTGGGGGTAAAGCGGCCAGGGCGTGAAGCTGACCACTCACCTCCATCTAGTGCCGAGGTCAAGATAATGGATCTATACATCCATTCCCCCATATGCCTTCATGGTGTAGTGTTAAATTAGTTAAGTGCAGGGACAACTTTGCCTTTTACATATTCTGTATGTATATTAAATTTGTTGGGTATATAACCTCAGAGTCTTTATTTTCCCCCCACTTGTATAATTTTTGCACACAGTATATTTTACATAGTGTATAGGTTTGTGAAATGTCATTTGGAAAAAATTGCGTAATTTTCCAAGATCTTTTATCATACATCATTTCAGGACCATATATTTGTGGTGCTTACAAGTTTGCTTGCCCACTGCGTTTTTATCACTGATTGTAGAAAATTAGAAGTATGGCATTTTGATGGCCTATAGTGGCATAACGTTCATACCTAGTTTTATAAAAATTGGTGAGCTTATTTGAAAAATGAAATGAATTGTGTTTTGTTTATAAAGCTTCAGTGCACTGTCACTGTGGAAGTCAGGTTGAACAAATTTTTTTCACAACATTGTACAGTCACAATTCATTTAACAGAAAAATACTTTCATTAGACCAAATGATATTTACAATAAACCTGGAGTTGCAGTAAGTGAATTTTGCTTTATTTAGGTATCGTGTTTTCACCCTAACTATATTATTGCTTTTTTACACCTCTTGGAAATGCTATTGTTCTTCTCTCTGTGCACCGTATTGCAACCTTAAATTGTGCTTCTTTGCATCAGGATGACTAAGCAAATACCTTAATAATTCAACCTCATTTGTCTTTCTAAAGCCAAGTCTGTTTCTGCTTTTAGCTCAGAATAGAAGTTGTTCAGAGTCTGTATATTATTTAAAAAATTCTGGATCAGTCACATTTCATGCCTGTGTGACTAAACCTGTTGGGCCCCAGTATATCTGTTTGTCATGAAATGAGAGCACAGTCTGACAAATTTTATTACTTCATCATTGGGCCAGATGGTCGTATGCATAGTTTATTACTTTATGGCTTTGAATTGTGCACTGCAAATATGTGACTGGTAGACATTGTCACAGAACAAAATAGAAGTGTCATGTAATGTTTTCATTTTACAGCTGTACAAAAGAAGGCATGACACAGATGATGAAGTGCATGTATGGGACATCTGTAGATTATAAAGAGGGCTAAACCTTGCATTGTTGAATTGAAGTTTCAAAACTATGAATCAGTTATGTTTTTTGAAATTTCAAAAGTATTGTATTATTACATCAGTGGGACTTGAGTGTTATCTTAGTTATATTGAAAGTGTGACAGAGTAATGTAATTTGATGTCATGCAAATGCATTTGTTACATTGAACTGTTTTTAAATTGGATACAAAACACTTTTTTGTTCACATTACATTGGCTTAAAGCAGTTACAACAAGAAAAATAATGAGTATTAAATATGTGTTTCATTGTCAGTTATAGGCCTATCTAACAAAATCATTTCCTTACTGTTAGAAAAAATGTCATGGTTCTAAGGTTAATGGATATGAGTATTATGTACCTGTCCAAGTTTCTTCCAGTCTGCAGGTCCACAAAAACAAAGTAATTCCTTACATACTTTGCAGTCTTGTGGTTGGATTTACCACATCGCTTTCTATTTATTTTTACTGCCAACACACAGTTTTCATATTTCTAAAGCCAGAAATGCTGCTGCTTCAATTCTGACATATCTTATTAACTGTTTGCCAAATCAAGACTACATACATTTCAGGTAAACAGTGTAGACCAAAAGAAAAAAATGTATATAGGTGTGTGTGTGGATATGATGAACAGATTTTGAGAAGTGTGGTAGAATATTAGTCCAAAGAATGTTTATTACAATCATCAAGCATCTTTTTTTTTTTTTTTTTGCAAAGTTTAAATCTTGAATGTGTATATGCAAAGTGAAATGGAGTTTGCATACAAGCTCTCTGTAGCATGATTCCTTATTAAAAAAAAACAAGTAGAAATGCCATACAACATATGCCCTGAAACGCTTAGTTTTTGAGATACATGTCACCCTCAAATGGAATAACGTACTTCTCAGCAGAGTTATTTGTCATGACAGTATATAGTGCTTTGTTACATGTACTCAAGCCACACAATGCACAGCTGGGTTCTGCTGTGGTTGAATGATCATGGAATACACATGATGAATACTGTGAGATGCCCTTAACTCTCAGTACCTGAAATGGTCGAGCAGGTACTGCTCCATGGGAATACGCATTGTTGACGTCATACTGCCACTGATGTGTTTCAACAATTGGAGGAGTGTCTCCATAAGACTTGAAGTGTAACACTCACTATAACACTGTGGCACACATGAATACATGTTGCCTACATACTGTATGCACACCATCCAGCGAGTGTGCCGTAATTGTAGCTGTGGAAAGAAAACCACGGGGAAACTTGCAATATTACACAAGAATTGGGACTCTCCCAACCACGGTTCCTTGAAGTACTTCATGACAAACAGTTGCATCCATACTACTGCATGCAGAATGCACAGCTGTTTCCAGATGATCATCCTGTATATGCAAGTCTGTGAATGACAGATGAGCTCTTTTTCATAGCATCACATCTGGGTACAGAATAATACTGATGCTGTCCAAAAATGTTGGTATCAAACTCCTTCATTATCAGTGTCTGTGCAGGAATGATCACAGGAGCATTGTTATTGGCCCATATATGCTACCTGACAGGCTGACTGCCAATTGATATTGTGATTTTCTGGAAACTGCTCTACTGGGGCTGATTTTGAGGGAGAGGTTGTGGTTTCAGCATGATGATCTCCAGCCGACAGGCAGTGGTCAAATGTAACTTATCCACGAAGGTGAATTGGATGTCAGGGACTGTTTGCATGACCTCCTTGGTCACTGGATCTAACTCCAGTGGATTTTTTCCTCTGGGGTCACCTGAAGGAACACATTTATGCAGCCCCATCCAGTGATGTCAGGAGAGCTAGTAACAAGTAGCTGTGACCACCATCACTGTCGAAATGTTAAGAGCTGTGACCACCATCACTGTCGAAATGTTAAGGTGTATTTAAGAGAATTCCATGTGGCACTGCTGTCTGCCTGAAAATGGAAGGAAGCTGCTTTGAAATCATATTGTAACTACAAGGTGCCTGTGGTTTGATCATTTGATAGCTTGCTGCATCGAATGATGACATGTATCTTGAAAACTAAACATCACAGGACATATGTTGCATGATATCTCATCTTCCCTCCCTCCTCCTGTCTCTAAAGGCAACAAATTGCATTATGGGGAACTTGTGTACAAATTTAATTTCATTGTAATATAAATATGTGCAATACAAATAGATTATTAGAGAATACACATAAGTCCATACTTAAAATGACCGGGAAGACAACTTTTTAAATTGATAGTTATCTCTTCCAACATATAATGCCATGTAGTCCATTGAAAATCAGCCAGTGTTTCAAAGGGACATGTCACCTCCATCTTCAGGCTCAAAGAATAAGCCAAGCAAGCAACCAGCATGGAGCTGTTCTTGTTACCTGCTTCATGCTGGTTTCTTGCTTGCCATGTTCAATTCTGAAGATCGATTTGACATGGTGCTTCAAAACATTTGTTGATCTTCAGTGGTCTTCATGGCATTATATCCCAGAAGATAGAACTCTTTGTAACCACCGCTGTGAGAACCTCAGTTCCAACAACACTTTACAATTTCTTGCATTATTCATTAATATACACCCAAATAAACATATTTCCTAGTATTCAGTTCCTTGTAGATGTTGGAATTGATGTGTGTTTGGTGATAATCTGTAGTGAATCGAACAGATAGTGTTATGTGTAGGTTTTGTTTCAGTTTCACTTCATTTCATAATGTTAGGTCACATATAGATGATAAGTTTAAAAGGAATTAGCATGTTAACATGGAAATTGTGGCTTAGGTTGGAATTTTTTGTTTGATTGTTGTTAAATAGAAACCTGTATAAACTGGAAAATAATATGTAACTCCACTTTAGACAGGTTCACTGAGAGTTTCATACCCCGATTACTACACGAGTTTAGCAATGAAAGTGATTGCAACCCTTGATGTTAGACTAGATAATGGTTGTATTTTGCATTCACTGAAACTCTGGCCATAGTTGAGCTAATATTCACATGAAAACAAAAACTGAATATTTCTGCTTTCCAGTTTATAGAAACTTATTCTGTATTTAAGTATGTGCATACAGAATTATTCTTTAATAAATTGAAATCAGAGATATAGTCCATACATCCTATTGAACAATATCATAGGTAGCAAAATTGAATATCTTTGCCTGCTCTGGCTAGAGAGAAAGTAAATGCTTTTTTTCATGGAATGAGTTGAAATAATTGTTGATTGTTCTCTAAATAGATAACAACAGGCTCGAGTGGGAATGTACATACTATTAAAGTAAGTATCTTATTTATACAGCCATTATCATTGTCAGCTCAGGGTTGCTCTTTAATTTTTTCATATTCCCTTAGTACATAAAATTTATCTGGTATAAATAAATTAGACATGAAACCCCATGCCTCCTTAAAAAAGTAAATGACAAGGACTCTTGCAAGAAAAATATTGAGCTCATGAAACGAGTTTTCTTAAATATTGTCAGTAAACAGATACCTTAATAAGTACAGCCTTCAAAATTCCCCTCAATTCTGCTTACAATATTCTGTGTAACTCAGTGGTAATAAATCATAGCAGTCATGTGTTAAAAAGTTCATCCTAATAAGCGCTTCTTCACAATATTACTGTTAATATTGACCACAATAACATTTTAGATATCTTCCTATCCCCCCCCCCAAAAAAGAAACAAAGCTGAAGGTTCTGGGTGTTAGGAAGGTTTGAGCTGGACCTGATAGATAAGAATCTGAAGAACAAAGAATGGACGTGTTCCCATACTGCTGTTATTTAATCCTTCTTCCTGCCCTAATATATGCAGAAATTTTTAGAATTGTTTTACGTCGTAAATATTGCGTTTGAATATTCTTTCTGAAATAGCAAATATAAGTGCATAAGATATTCATATAGGGACATTCACATACTTAAATTAAGACACTTCACATTTACTCAAATTGCAAAGAATACAGCTTTCACCCATACTTTTTTTTAGTAGTGCGTATATTCCTTTTCTTATAAAATATTGTCTCTGAATAATGCTTTCATTTATTAGTACCTGGGCTGAGTTAGCAGTTTATAAACTGAAGAAAGCAGTCTTGTGGGATGTGGCGGTTTTCACCGCCGTGAAAACCTCAGATCTTACATAGTTTATAAACTATTTAAATTAATAGTGGATGGGGATTGTTTATGTCCATTTTATTGTGTTTTTATGATCAGTTATAGCATTTCATTCGTGAGATTGCACCTTTATTGCATTTTACAAAATTTTACATGAACATAATAAAATATTATAATGCTTACCATTAAAGGCCTAGTATCAGCATGTTACATAACAGCTAAGTTATCTTTAAACCATATTTTTAAACAACCATACAAAACTTTTATTAATTGATGTCTGGGGTAAATGTTAGTCTTTGTTAGCATTGAAGTAATGTACAGCTTTGTGTTGTGATTTTTGCGTTGTTGAGTGGTAGCACTATCTGGGAATCAATTTTATATCTTCATTTACAGTACTGATTACTAGCCATTATGATCCAAAATGTTTTCCCTACAAACTTTAACTGAAATAATAAAGTATTATTCTAATCAAAAGGAATATGCAGTGTTTTTACGAGAAAAGATGATGAGTATAATTTCTTTAATCAGTTGTTTTTCCTCCACTCCCCACCCCCCAAATGAAGTCCCTTTAGCAAGGGAACAGCAAATTGTCACACTTGTAGAATCTGGGGCTTTGACAGTTTTCATATTGTAATTGGAAGAATATGAGAATCCAAAATTTAGAGTTTGGTATTATGGCCTGATGATCACTCACACTACTTCAGTTTTGTAATCCTAAGAGAGTCAGTAGGACTCCTTGAACAGGGGATCAGCCCATTGCAAGGCCACTACGTACACAGAACACAAACAGAATAAATGCAGACAAACATTCATGTCTTGATTGGGATTTGAACCCACAATCCCAGTGTTTGAGCAAGCGAAGACAGTTCATGCCTTAGACTGCACGGCCACTGTGATCGGCACAGTTTAGTATAAATGTTTGAAAAATCTCAAATACCAAATTTTTAAGGTACTTAATCGAAAGCGAGAGTCCACTTATTGTCACCTAGAAGTCTTGGTCTGGTCCCATTAGGCATCTTGGTTTGTGGATATATGAAGGACATTGTGTATTCCATGAACTTTTATAATTTAGAGCACTTGAGGGAAAGAATCACTGCAGCCATGCCAGTGGTTACTCCAGTTGTGCTGAGCCAAGTATCAGTAGGTATTAACGCAATGAATTTGAGTTTACTGCGACGCTTACATTCAGGTTTATTGAAAATTATTTGCAAACTTGAGTTTCTTATCATAATCATCATAATTATTTAATAATTGGCATTGTTAGCGAAATGTTTCTTGAAAGTTAGAACATGTCTAATGAATATTGTAAGTATAAATAATTTCATTCTTCTTAGTTTCATGGTTTAGCACTTACCTTCACTTCAGCCCTTGTCATCTACCTGTGGTTTTAGATAAGTGGTTCCCAAAATCTTTCAGTCTCAGTGTCCTTTCATGTGAATCTATAAAAATGAGTTGGATTTGAGGCTTTCACAGTGACTGTGAAAGGTACTGTCTTTTGGGGTGTAATACTGGGTAGTCCAGTAGAAGTGCAGCCTTCATCTTCATTGACAAAGAGTAAGCCAAGCAGGTAGCAATCAGAGGTGTGCTGGAATTTATATGTTCCTTTGAAATAAATGTTGGTGAATTTCTGCAAAATTGTACATTGTTACATCTAACCTTTTATAAAAGTGGCTTAAAATGTGATTTAGTAGTTTTTGTTTTCCTTTTAACAGACTGTAACACTGAATTAATTCATTTTTATCATCTTGTTGTATTAGGGTTACAATTAATTCAATATCTTTGTTACCTGCCTTCTTTTTGACAGTCCCCATAAAAGGCTTCATGGCCCCTGGGGGTCCATAGCTCTTATTTTGGGAACCACTATTTTAGATAACACTCTAAGTGAGTTTTCTTCATAGGTACCACTTTTCTTACACAATATTAGCAGCAACTTCAGTTCCTGGAATTACTTCAGATCTGTAATATATTCATTATGATTGTTTCTTGATGGACCAATCAAAACATTGTGCTTAATTCCACAGTTTTGTGGTGATATTCTTCATATTTTTTCATGTATGTTGCATACCATTTTAAAACCAGAGTTTCAGATGATACAGATTTGAAAGTGATGTAGTTCATGAGTGGTAAATACCTGGATGGCAAAAAGCCAAAGCACTATCCCTTCCTCACTCATACACCCTCCAAATTCTGTGACATCTGCCACATTCTAAAATGTTTTCAGGCATAAGTTTTGAGATTTTCATGATAGTGATTGTTCAGGTTGTGGTCTTCTTGGTTATGACACCATGTAGTCTTGCTGGTGGATGCCATTGTTTTTGAGAAACATGCCTCCATGAACAGGGTTGAACTTCATCCATAAAGATGGAGGCAGTGCCTTTCTCTAAAACATTGGTATCCATCCACATGGCATCATGGTGTCACAACCTGGAAGACAGTTCCCACACTTTTCAGATTATTATGCAGTACTGTTGTCCGTTTACTCTTCATTTGTTTAATGATGCTGCCAGTAGCTGAGACTATGTAGTGTTGCAATTTAGGATGAATAGTAAACAATGAGAAGAGCATAAAAGGAAATGACCATGGCCTAATTTGAGGTACTATCCTGGCATTTGCCTGGATGGACTGAGGAAACCCATGAAAGTCCTCAGTCAGGATAGCTGGTTTCTGAACTAAGATTTGAACCTAGAACCTACTGACTGCAGAGCAGAATGGCTGATCACTTGCTTGTGGTAGTAATAATTACAGGTATCATTGTTTGTCCTTGTTTCCAAATTTTAAAGAGTAACAACATACTGTGGTGTATGTTTTTACGTTATTTAACAACACTGTCAATTGGAAATTATGTTATTTAGGCTGAGGAAGAGTAGGATGTTTCTAAAGGTAATAAAGTAGGAAGCAGCCATGACCTGATTGAGTATGCTGTAGAATATATCTGGAAGGACTGGGCCATTATAGGATAACACATCTGGGATTTGATCTGCGTACCCGTTGTATGTGAGCTCAGCTGACTCATTCAGTATTCCTTTCTCATTTGAAAAAAAAATTGTAATGTTTTCATAGTTTAGGCTTTAATATTATTTTTAAGGGCCCAGTTTTCAACAGCATTTCCTCCATAGAAATTTAAGCTGCGAATTAGCACAGTCTCTGTGGGTTTCTAGGGATTTTGTAGCCCTTTGATTTTACTATACCTAGTAAAATCAGGACTCAGTCATGTTGTATGGATGAGAATGTAATAGGTCTTCACATAATTAATTATGATGTGTAAGAGAGGAATCATGGCTTTATATATTTTGTTGCTGGATTGCTGTTGGAGATAATAATATGAATATACAGACATTTTAATTGATTGATCAAGTTGGATGTGATCTAATTTGTTATTTACTATGCTTTTTATGTTTTTTGTGTTCTAACAAAATTTATATTTACGGTATGCATATTTTTGGGTGATTTGTGTCACTTGATTGTGACCATTTGCAGTCAAAATGTGTAATATATAGTTAGAAATAAAAAGTTTTTATATAGCAGAAATTTTTGTGATGATTAATCTTATGACTCATCATTAGAGGATGAACATTTTTCCAACGCCTACTTGGCAACACAGAATTGACCCCCTTACCCCCATTTCTTCTGCTGAAATGCTTGTGTCTGCATGTAGCTTAAATGAAATGTATGTAAACGTCCTTTATTCTGCCATCACCACAGCTTTAGCTTTATACTAATTCTTGCACTCCCCAATCTCATTACATACACCAAAGATGCTTTTCTTCCTTTTTGTGGCATACTGTTTTGCTTGCAAAGTACCAGTAGTCAACCACAAGTTACAGTTAAACGGTTCATACCGTTTAATTTGATCATTAGCCGATAATTTAAATTTTTATTGTGCAACACTTACCTAAGCTTATACTTTATAGGCTTCATATTACTAAATCTTGATTCATAGAATGCTGCAGAAGTTGGCATGACAGCAGTTCTTGATGTCATTCTGAGAGGTGTATATCTCTTTTCTTGTGATCAAGCAGTCTTCAAGCTTCATTCTTTAACATGCTGTCTTGGCTTCATACCTCTCATTGGGAATGTCTTCATTGACATGAAGTGACTGTTTTGAAATGAAACGGTAAAAGCGGAAGTGAGAGTCTATTTCAGAATCATCAGAACTTCTTAGTTCACCATTAGGTGGCCACGAGACAGTATCAGTGACAGAACAGACAACAGTTATTATACAGGTAGTATTAGGAAACCATTCATTCAAGATTTTAGTTCCTGATTTAATGAGATTTCTTCTGTCTCTCTTGAATTTTGTTTGCTGTTGCTTGTATTATTTCACTCAGCAGAATTTCTTGACAGCTCTCCTGTCATTGAAATATTTTTATTATTATTATTATTATTATTATTATTATTATTATTATTATTATTATTATTATTATTATTATTATTATTATTATTATTATTATTATTATTATTATTATTATTATTATTATTATTATTATTATTATTATTATTATTATTATTATTATTATTATTATTATTATTATTATTATTATTATTATTATTATTATTATTATTATTATTATTATTATTATTATTATTATTATTATTATTATTATTATTATTATTATTATTATTATTATTATTATTATTATTATTATTATTATTATTATTATTATTATTATTATTATTATTATTATTATTATTATTATTATTATTATTATTATTATTATTATTATTATTATTATTATTATTATTATTATTATTATTATTATTATTATTATTATTATTATTATTATTATTATTATTATTATTATTATTATTATTATTATTATTATTATTATTATTATTATTATTATTATTATTATTATTATTATTATTATTATTATTATTATTATTATTATTATTATTATTATTATTATTATTATTATTATTATTATTATTATTATTATTATTATTATTATTATTATTATTATTATTATTATTATTATTATTATTATTATTATTATTATTATTATTATTACTGTTATTACTATTTCCTGGTCTTTTAAACATCTTACAGCTTCCCTAAGGAATAAGGGGTAGTTTCAACATGTACTTTTATATGGCTCAACAGTAGGCCTTCTCTTTAAAAAAATTAAGGGTAGTTCCTTAAACACAGGAAGAAAGCCCAATGAAAACTTGCCAGAAGAATTTGGAAGAATGATAATTAAAAAAACATTTGAGAACCAAATAAAGAAAATTAAATGAAACAATTGCTATAAATTTTAGTAGCCACTTAGTGATAATTTATTTGCCTTAGATGGGCATGTGAACCCTGGACCAAACTTTAGTAGTGATAACATGGAGTACATGTGGTGAACCACCTTTATTCTGCATGCCTATTACATAAATAATGTATGTCCATGATTTATCACTGTTTCCCATGGTCTTCCCGGTATTTGCAACTAGACCACTGTTAGAATTGGAACAAAAGGAAGAACTAATTTCTTTTCAATACTAATTGTTAGTGCGCCAACATATTCGTTTAGTCTTGATAAGTTTTTATGTGTGATTTAGTATTCCTCAAAGGAGATTCCATTTGAAGCAATGGGTGGATGGTTTTATTTCTGAGTATTCTTTACAGAATTTAATTTGCTGTATGCATGTAAGATATTTTATGATTCTTTCAATAACATTTCTCTTAATGAAAAGAATTCTAGACTGTTGTCTTTTCACCGCTATCATATTGGCATGTAAATCAAATGCCCTCCATACAGCATGTTTCATTGCATACCCAGTTCTGGAACTGATCTCATTGGTGCTCTTCTTTCTTGCTGGACCTGTTCAGATGTTACTACTCTTGGTTTGTAGCTTAGTTCAGTTTGTAAGTACAGTAGATAAGAAAGCACATGTTCATGGTATTATGCCTGTTTAGGCTTTGTAGAGACTTTTGGAAATCAATGACAGTGATTCAGTGGATAATATTCCTAGAAGTTCCTAGAACTTATTTGAGCCCAAAATAATTTTTCCATTTGTGTGCAGTTGTGCCGATGGTGGTGGGGGTTAACATCATGTCCAACGAAATTTCATTTTCTGTCTCATACAGGTTAGAAGGTAGATTTCTTGTGAGGATATTTCTAAGTATCCTGTGCATATAAAGGGAGCATATCTTTCACTATTTCACTCTCCAATTTACCCTTTTAAAGTGACAAAATTCACACAATTTTAGGAACCTCAGCCATCAGACTTCTTGCTGCTACAGTACCTCTTATGAAAAGTGTCACCTAAACTAACTGTCTTTGTCCTAAGTTATGAAATGTAAAACATAACAAACAAGACTCATGATTCAGTCTCTAGAAACCTGTATTGAACCTCATTCTCATTTAACTGCAGTGATTTCTCTGAAAAATACTTGCTAAAATATACATTTTTTTATCCTCACATTTATTTTCCTAGTTCACCATTAGGTAGGTATAGGTTGAGGTAGACAAACGTCGGTTATATAGTTCATTTTCACTTAAATGACATTAAACAGTTCTACATTTGGGAGAATAATTTAAATTTTTGCATGATATTTGTAAACTGTATTATGATGTGAATATGTTCCTTTAAAATATAATATTGGCAGAATAGTATGTACACTTGTATAATTTAGGAGAAATAGGATAGTTTTTTTTTTTCATGTAAGATACAGTAGAAATGGCATGTAACTTGATTACATGTGAAAGTACAGCAAAATGTATGTCAGATCTTGAAGTAATCACAAACCTCTCTCCAATTTTAATTTTCACCCCTAAGTCAACTGTATTGTAGGAAGCGCTTAAATTAAAGTAGAAAACTGTATGAAGTTAAGATTAGTAATGTTACAGTATTTTTTAAATATTGTGTTTTCACCTCCTTTGCAGTATGAAGGTAATTGTTTGGAATATTAAAGTTCTGTGTTTAATAACTTACTGTGATAAAACTATCAGACACAGCTTTTGATATTTACTGGGGAGAGGAGTGGGCAGCTTCACAGAAAAAAGTTATGACATCTTAGCCCAAAACAAAATCAGTGAAGTCCCATGGAATTCCATTTCACATCGATTTTAGTGTAATCCTTATGACCAGGTCAGTGATAATATTGCGTGTTCTCTCGGAATCTGATGAATCCTACTTCCAACACCAGTGTGAAATGGTGTTTGTTATTGGTCCTATCAATCACGTGTGTAAGTCCAGTAATTCTTCTAAATTCGTCTCAAAATCCGAACCTATCCCACTTCTGACACCAGTGTCACGTGTTACCTTGGTAACAAGTGACAATATATTAATATGTGCTTTTAAAATTATGATTTTATGTTATTAAGTACCATTCTATGTTTATAATTAAGGAGCTGAGCTTTGTAGAAGGGATTTCTGAAGAGTAATATACTTACTGATGCAGCAGCCTGATACAGCGTCAACAAATGCTGTTCAAGTACTTCAGTTTGTCTTTGATATATCACTGACATATAATTGGTATGTTAAGGCTTTGAAATGAACCATTGTTTTTCACCCGTGTTTGTTCCAGGTGCGGGTTAAAATTGAAGGGGATAATGAACCACAGCCAACAATCCCTCGTGAAGAGGGTCAAGTTCCTTTTGTGTTTGTAGGTACTGTAGAAAGCATAGCTAATGCAAAAGTTCTTTTGGAATATCATCTAGCACATTTAAAGGTGAGTCCACATGTTGTAATTTTATAAGAATTTAATTTGCATACAGAGTAAATGGAGTCTGGTACAGTAAAGCCTTTTTTTTTTAATATGTGGATTATAAAATCTGGTAGTTTTCATCTTTGTATTTTCTTTTTATGATTATTTTATCTCAAGGTAACAGATTAGTCTTTCTTATACTGGACACCAGAGGGCTCAGGGTGTATTAATTACAGTATCAATGAATTTCATTGTTTTCAGAGCAGTTGTGTTTCTTTGTGTAATAACATGTTTTCGTAAATACCAATATACACCATCGGCTATTATTTTCCTTGTGTCACACTACCATGACAGCGCACGTGGAGGTCGCTATGTAAATACCATTGCCCTCAAGTTAAAAAGCTGGCCACTTGTGCCATAATAGTGGAAGATTTAAATTCCCTATTCCCAGATAAATCTTAATTGGCAGGAAAGAGTTTTATATTGCTTGCTCTTTGCAGGAAGTAGAAGCATTAAGACAAGAAAAGTTAGAAATCGATCAGCAGATACGCAGTATACACGGTTCTACAATGGGCTCAATGCAGAATTTTCCAATTCAGAGGCGCAATGACAGGTGAGTCAATCAGTTGTTTTGTTATGCATCTTGTATTAAAATCTGGTATTTATATCTTCTATTTCATCTTCTATGAAATTTTGCCCCTTAGCACATTGCAGTGTGTCATGTAGAAAGCCTTGATACAAATCCCATGCATTATATATATGGGTAATGTATGAATGTATAAGGGGTGGGCCTTCTTGGCCCTTGCACCACGACCTGAAGTGATCTGTTGTTCTTTATATGTGGGTAATGTAGATTTACAGTATTGCCAGCTGTGTCATTCTTTGCCTCATGGGTACTGCTCTGTCTGTCATATTGGCTCAGATTATTAACAGCTTGAAAGATGTGTCTCATAATAAACATAGACCACTTGTAACATAGCTGTTAATGTTAATTTAAGAATCCGTCCCGAACATTGGAAATATATTACAATGGCATAGAGTACATAAAATTGTGTCAGTGTAGGAACTTCTTTACCAATGTAAAATAAACTAATATGACTGCTATACAAAGGGGGACCCAAAAATAACCGGAACCGACCTGTTGCGCGCGCATGCTTTGTAGTTACGAGTTGTGCTGCTAGGTGGTGTTAGCTGGGGGTCTCCCGTGTCTGTTAGAGAGCTGGCGTCAGTCTGAGTTAAGTGGTTTGTCTGTGGTGCTCTGTTGTGTGCGTTCCTGTTTCAACCCTTTGGCGATTAGTGAGATGGCCGACCAGAAGGAACA